GGTAGCCAGGCAGGGGGGGCAGAGATGGGGCAGAGCGCAGGGAAACGGCTGGGGCATGCACGTTGGCTGCGCCACAGCCCTGACGCCCGGCGAGGCCTCGGCGGGCCCCTCCTCCCTGGCCCCTATAACACACACACACACACACCACCACCACCACCACCACCAGCCCCACTGCCGCCACCGCCGCCGCCTTGCTGCCGGGCGGCGCATGGGAGGCCTACCGTAGGTGTCCCCCGCTTCCACAGTGTCCACAGCCGCCAGCATGGAGTCGAGGCGGCGGGGCCCCCGCCCGCGCCCCAGCCCCGCCAGCACCGCCGCCGCCGCGGGGGCGGCGCCCGTGGGCGCGCCGCCCGTGGCCGCCGCCATGGACGCGCGCGCGACGTGGCGGCGCCAGCAGCGCTGGATCAGCGTTGCGCCGCGGTGCAGCCGCTCCACCTCGCCCTGCTCCGCCGCGCGCGGCACCTTGGTCCCCACATCCACCTTGCAGGAGAAGGGCAGCATGGCGCAGTTGACGCGGGCTGACGGGTCCCGCACAAACGCCGCCGTGTCTCGCAGGTCGACCTGCGGGCAGGCGGGGGGTGGTGGTGGTGGTGCAGGTGGTAGAGGGGGTGGTGTTGGTGTTGGTGTTGGTGTTGGTGTTGGTGTTGGTGTTGGTGTTGGTGTTGGTGTTGGTGTTGGTGGTGGTGTTGGTGGTGGCGGTGGTGGTGCAGTGTGTGGCAGGAGGGAGGGACAGGGTGTGGGTGTGCATGCTGCAGCTGAGGGGGCAGTGGGCCCGCGGCAGGACCGGCACAGAGCCGGCAACGTGCACCGCTGCAGAGCGCAGGCTCGCGTGCCGCCAGCCCCTGCCCGGCGACGCGCCTGCCCTGCCCGCAGGCCCGCACCTTGATGTTTGTCTCCCCATCGCCGCCGTAGCTATAAGCGAAGCGCAGCGCGGTGGCGCTCAGCGCGAGGCCACGCTCCTCCAGCGCCAGCCGCTCGTCTGTAGGCGTGAAAGGGAAAGGGGAGAGCAGGCGGGGCGGGCAGGCGGGGCGGGAGCTCTCAGCAGCATGCCCAGCGTTCCAAGCATTCCAACCGCCCGCCCTGCCACCCGTCGCACCCGCCCAGCCTGCCTGCCGTGCCCTGCCTGCGCCCTGCTCCGGCCACACAGGTGAGCCCGCCAGCTGCCACACACACACCCAACTGGCTCACCCTTGTCATCCACTTCGCCCAGCACAGCAAACGCCAGCGCCATGTCAGCCACCCGCTCAAACCCGCTCTTCTGCGGCAGGGCGGGAGGTGGGCGGAGGCCACCGCGGCGGGGTGGGAGGTCAGCACGCGCCTCCCTCCAGGCAAGCCGGCCGGGGCCCAGCACAGCAAGCACCGCACCGCATGGTGGCTGCCAGCTGTCGCCGTCGGAGCCCCTGCCTGCACACGCCTCCACCAGCACAGCCGCACCACCACCACCTCCCCCCCCCCCACACACACATTCACACCACTGCCTCACCCACCTGCACCAGGTCTGGCATGTTCCACAGCTGGCTGCTCATCTCCTGCGCCTCAGCCACATCATACACGGGCACAAAGATCTGGGACTGTGCCACGAGGAGGTTGAAGTAGAACCAGGCAGAGGGGCCCGAGGCCAGCACGGGCGGCAGCGGGCGCTGAGGTGGCGCCAGGTCATCACGCTCGCCAGGCGGGCGCTGAAGGCTGTGCGGCGCGCCAAAAATGTTGGTCAGGCTCCACACCTGCCGCGGGGTGGGGGGTGGGGGGTGGGGTGGGGTGGGAAGCGGCTCCT